ATACCATTTTTTATAAAATATATCTATGTATAAATAAAGATACTAGTGGTCAAAGTACAATTCTGAATATCATGAAAAATCAAATGAGAAGAACATTTCTGTTGGTGTTGGGATTCCTCCAAGTCCCACACCGGAGGGAGAACAAAAAATGGACCAAAAAAAATATAGGTTTACCCAACCCCATTAGTATGAGGTCTTTTGGGAGATGCCCAAAAACAAATCCGTGAGGGCTTGGCCCAAAGCAGACAATATCATACTAATGTGGGGTTGGGGTGAGGGCACGCGCAGTCCCAACAATTCGGAATAAAAGTGCATTGTGGGAACTATTCTTTTTGAGACACATGCAGAGAGTACATTCGATCCCCAGTCAGAATTAAAGTGCATTTTTAGTCAAATGTTTCTATTAAAAACTCAGAAAAATAATTTCACAAACAACAACGATGGCGTACGGGATACCGGATACATATTAAACGACAACAACAAATAGTGTAAAGGATATTTATAATGATATCTCAACATATGTAATTAAATAGAAAATGTAGAGGTGCTCCGAAATGGTTGCTATGAACGGTGCACTCATATTTCGAACGGATGATAATCGTCTGTGTCGCGCATAGAAATAATCACGCAACAACAATACATATCCATATGTATGTCACGAGTAGGGATATTATTATTACAGGGTTTGTGGCGGCGGCCGCCGGATGGGTCGTCGGCACAGCTCCGGCGGCGATGGGGATGCCGGCGGTGGAGCCGTTGCAAATGTAAATAAATTGGCAGTCACAACGCGGGCCAGTACTGGTAGCGTAATTACACTCTCCCCAGAAAGATTCATTGTATTTCTGGTGGCACGTGGTGTTGCAGTTGCTGTTATCCATTTTGTTCATGTCGTTTCCGCACGAAGTTGCATCCCCGTCAACTATGGGGCTGGTGAAACCATTGGGGCAATTTGGGAGTTGTTGCCCCACACTTGATCTTTCTGCAACAAATTCAATAACTTGAAATTTGTACTCAGGGGCTGTTTGTTTCAGCCTCTTAATGGTTCAGATGTCTGAATAATTCAGCACTTAATGGTTTAGACTGTTTGTTTCAGCCTCTTAATGGTTCAGAAGTCTGAATGATTAAGAGATTTGCCTTTGAATGGTTAAGTATTATGTAGAGTCTGAATGGTTAATATCTCTTATCTGAATTGATCAGACATTTACCTCTGAATAGTTATATACTAGCTCTTAATGGTTCAGACCTCTTAGTGGTTCAACACTTAATGGTTCAGACCTCTTATTGATTCAGCACTTACCCATTCAAAAGTTGCCAAACAGCCCCTGAATATGACTAAAACATAATTCCAAATTTCCAATGTAGGACTTAAACTTTTTTATTCCCTAAATAGGATTTAATAATGACAAGTGAGAAGATTAATATTTAAGTGATTCTGGACATTTAATTGAATAATGACTAATAGATAATAAACAATGGTCATACATTGGCAAATAAAAACTTAAGTAAATTACCCATTCAATAACACCCTCAAAAAACTTATTTTTAAACCAATATTTATGTTTAGCACCAACGCCTCCTCTTATTATTATTTTTTTCTGTTTTCTACTAATTTTTTCATAAATGTTTTTAATTTCTTTTTTAAAATTATTTTTTAAATTGTTTTAATTATCAATTTTTTTTGTATTTGCAAAAAAATCAATTAAATAACAAGAATGCACACTTCATTTGTCTCAAATTATACATTTTTATTTTTTGTCTAAATAATGTCTTTAATTTATTGGTTCATTTTTATAATACTCCCTTGGAATGAAGGGAGAAGAATATAATTTAGTCAAATATTTGTAGTTTCACTACAAATATTTACGAGTGTAATGAATATACTTTGATGATATAAATTTGATTTCAATATATAGGCTCATTTCAAACCATTATTTTGAAATATCATACTCTCTATTTTTATAATTTACCATTTTATATAAATAGAGATATTTGGAAGAAAATGAGACGGAAGGAGTATCATTTATGATGTACTATCTCCGTCCCAGTGTATTCGCTCAGTATGACTTTTTCGAGTCAAACGAGATGTACTTTGACCTTAAATAAAAGTAGTAATCTATGTACTTTAGTATAAAAATAATTCCAATAGATTTATCTTATTGAATAAGTATAACTCCCTCCGTCCCAAAAAGATTTACACCTTTCAAAAAAATTGCGTCCCACAATCTCCTACCCATTTCTATTAAAAAACCACTTTTGCCCCTTACTTTTTCAAACCCTACCTATCACATCATACATTTTTCCTAATAATCTACATATCACATCCTACTTTTACTAATCATATCAAAGGTATTTTTGGAAAGTCAGCATAAAATTATCCCTCCCTTAATTTTAACTTTAGTCAAAATGTGTAAATTTTTTGGGACGGAGGTAGTACAATTTTAATTTGTTCTATTGACATGCAACACAGTTTAATACGGAGTAGTAATTAATGGTTATAATTTACTCCATCCTTCTCCAATTTGATTACAATTTTTTTCTCTCTTCTCTCGATAACATTTGTTTATTTACGTGATTTCATTAAATATTTGATAAAATAAAATATTGTTGTCACCTCTTGTTTAGTACTCCCTCCGTTTCTTAAAACCCTTCATCTTTCATTTTTTTTGTTTTTCTTAAAACACTTCCCTTTTCTATTAAAAAACCACTTTTACCCCTACTTTTTCATACCCTACCTATCACATCATACTTTTTCACTAACAACTAAACTATCACATCTTACTTTTACCCATCACATCAAGGGCAAAATTGGAAAGTCAACTACAATTTAACACTTCCTTATTTTTCCCCAAAGTCAAAAGAGGAACCGTTTTGAGAAACGGAGGGAGTAGAATTTTTGACGTAATTTTTTCTAATATGTAATTTTTATTTCTTATCGATTTACCGATTTGTATATAAAATTATTTCAAAAAGATAGATATTTCTCATCGTAAACCCTAATTTGTAATCAAATTGGAGATAGAGGGAGTTCTAATATTATGATTCTAAAAAAATCAAACCGATATCGATTTTTTCTCCTAAGGAATTGAACAAACTCTAGATTACCAAAGTAGGGAGTAAAATATTACGTTACGGAGACACACCTGAAACGGAAACAAAGAGAAGAAACAGTAGGCACATATTTTTGTAAGAGTGCACCGCCATTATATTTTTGCACTTAATTAATTTGCACATACAAGATTATTTATTCTTGTGATGTTATTAATATAGACTATAAATCGAGTTATATATAGCAGCAGAGCGTTATACCCTGACGACGGTTAATGGCCGGTGTCGTTTTTTTCCACTTTCAAACAACTTACGTCGAGAATACGAAGTTACCACGTAGAATTTTAAGGCAAAAGAGAAGATGATTTTTTCAACAAAAAAAAAAAATCACTCCTTACTACTCCCTCCGTCCCAAAAAGAATGGGACGGTTTGACTTTTTGGGAAATTAAGGGAGAGATATTTTGGTATAGACTTTCCAAAAATACCCTTGATGTGATGGGTAAAAGTAGGATGCGATGGGTAGATTATTAGAAAAAAAGTATGATGTGATAGGTAGGGTATAAAAAAGTAAGGGGTAAAAGTGGTTTTTTAATAGAAATGTTAAGGACTTTACGGGACGCAGTTTTTTCTAAACGTAACAAACTTTTTGGGACGGAGGGAGTATATGCTACTACGTAAGTAGAAGGATCAATATGTATCACACCTGACGCCTAGTATAAAGATTTTTTTTTAAATTATGAGTCCATTTATGGAAAATACTCCTCCCTCTCAAACCCGATTTTAACGCCCGGGGCGTTAAACACCGCCCCCCTAGGGCTTTAACGGGGCGTCACTCTCTCAGCGTCAGACGTTTGACGCACTCCTCCATCCCCCTAACGGCTAAATAATTAGCCGTTGCAGCCTTTAAAAAAATTAATTCTTTTTTATTAATTAATTTCAAACTCCATCTCCAATTCTCACATCTTTCAATCTTCAATTCTCATCAATCTTCTTCACATCTTCAATTCTCAATTCTCCAATTCTCTTTTCAACATGAACCCCTCCGGCTCCGGCTTTTTCCCCGACAATCTCGAGCCTAACGAGCATGCCATGTGGATCTTCCAACAACACGTGAGTAATCCAACGTTGTTCGAGACAGAACTATCGAGGTACGTCTATGAGCGGGAGTCGATTCCGGAGACTCAACCGAAACCATCCAGCACAAAAAAAGTACACGCCGGAAGAGCCACAAAGCGAAAGGCACTCAAGCGATGACCGAGGCGGCACAGATAGTCCAAAAGTGGACGCTGGAGGAAGAGTGTTTGGTGGCGTCGGCTTGGGTTGACGTTTTCGAGCATCCTATCATTGGTAAAAATTATCTGTTTTCGAATATATTTATGTTTTTATTTATATAATCATGTTATATGTTTGTGTTAAAAAATTCATGTTATACTTTTTAAAGGTTTCGAAAAAATGAAGGATGCGATGTGGGATCGTATCAACGATTAGTTCTTTACGACGATGAACATGGACGCCTCGTACCGTACCCGGGACCAACTCACTTCCAAATGGGGCCATATCATCCATAAAATCCAAAAGTTTATCGGAGTTTACGAGGAATGCGCCCGGTCCTGGAGGAGTGGGACGAACGACGCCGATGTTCTCTGGCTTGCCATGGCCCGACATCAAGACGACATGCACCAAGGCAAGGTGCTCATCGATCTTTGGAGAATTTTAAGTCGTTCATCGAAATGGAAACAACTCAACAACTCCGACGGCGGATCCTCAAAGAAATGATCCTCCGTCGACGCCGAGGTTGAGGTCGATGACACTATCGGTTCGTCCAAACAAAGTCCTCCCTTCAATGTTGCGGATTCTGTTACGTACGTAACCCTAGGCGAGATTGGAGAAGGAGGAAGAGGAGAGATGGCGCACGAGAGTTACGCCAGGGGAGGGAATAAGATTTAGAGAGAGACTAAAACTATTCTTGTTATTATTTTTAGAGTAAAACATCCCTATTTATAATAACAAAGAGTCCTAATCCTGTCGGTTCAATAAAGGCGTCAAGGGAAAGAACCGAAAAGAAAACCCTTGAAGGAGCTTATAACACGCTCTCCTAAAGAAAATCTACGTTACAAAAATGGAAAATAAATAAATAAATAAATAAATGGATATGAATGAATTAAATATAATCCTTGAGTCGTGCCGGAGTCCTAGTTGTACGAGACGACCTTCGTGGCACAAACTCCTTGTTGCCGTCTAATTCCTGTTCTGCTTCAATCTCTTGTTCCGTAACACTGCCCACCGCTCCAAGAACGTCCTTGTCCTCAAGGACCAAACTCGGGTACCGCTGCATGAGTGTTCCAACGGGTTCCCAGGAAGCGTTACTCAAATCTCCGTCTGACCACTCGACCAACCATTGCTCCTGTGGTTCCCCCCGAACAAGTATAGTACGTGTCTTAACGGCCTGAACAGGGGTGGAAATGGGTGCCCCCTCATGGAATGCAGTGGGTAACGGATGCACAGGCAGTGGAGAACCTTCGTCGATGAACGGCCGGAGAAGGGACACGTGGAAGGTATCATGGACGCGAGCACCCTCCGGCAGTCTCAATTTGTACGCAACAGGTCCTATGCGCTCCAAAATCTCGAAGGGCCCATAGTAACGGCGACCTAACTTGGCAGACAGCGGCTTGGACACGGAGAACTGCCTGTGGGGTTGCAAACGGAGCAAAACACGATCGCCGACAGAGAATGTGACCTCCCGGCGGTGTTTATTAGCCGTCACACACATGCGTTGCTGCATACTGATTAAATTCTGTTTGAGCATCCGAAGGAGTTCCCGTCGCTCCGTTAACAAATCATCCACCTTCTGCACGTTGCTCGAGCCTGTAGTGTACGGCAGTAGGGGTGGTGGGTCACGGCCATACAAGGCCTTGAATGGAGACATTTTGATGCCTTCGTGGTATGTACTGTTCAACGCCAGTTCTGCCCACGGTAGGAGGGATGACCATTTAGCGGGTCGTGCATGACAAAAAGCGCGGAGGTATTGTTCCAATCCCCGGTTGCGCACCTCCGTTTGCCCGTCAGTTTGGGGTTGGTATGCCGTACTACGCTTCAATGTGGTGCCACTCAAAGTGAAAAGGGATGTCCAGAAGTTGCTCATAAATACGGGGTCACGATCGGAGATGATCGATTTAGGAAGTCCATGAAGCCATACAATCAAATCAACAAATAACGTTGCTGCTTTCGGCGCATCAAACACCGCTGGCAAGGCCCCAAAGTGACTGTATTTGGAAAGCCTATCCACAACAACCATCACAGTGGTGTATCCTCGAGAGGGGGGAAGACCAACGATGAAGTCCATAGTGATATCATCCCAGACATGAACGGGTACCGGTAACGGTTGAAGCAGCCCCCCACTCTTCTGCGTTGAGGCCTTCGTGGCTTGGCAGGTCACACACGCCCGAACAAACTGTCGGACATCCTTCCGCATTCCCGGCCAGTGGAAGACTTCGGCGAGACGCCGAAACGTGCGATCAACGCCGGGGTGGCCAGCACTTGGCGCTGCATGGAACTCTGCTAAAATTTCTGGTTTCAATGCCGATGTAATGCTCACACACAACCGATGATGATAATACACCAGCCCGCCATGGATGGAGTACGGCGCTGTTAAAGTTCCTTCGGCAGCCGCGGCATGGTGTTGTTGAAGGTCTGGCATGGTGTTGTTCTCGTGCTGTAGACGATCAAGGAGGGCGGGAAGGGGCTGTGCATAGTGGAGGAATAAAGAAACTGTGTCTGCCAGCTCCTCTCGTCGCGATAAGGCGTCGGCAACCCGGTTGGCCGTACCCGGTTTGTACTCGATGCGAAACTTGAAACCCATTAGTTTGCGCACGTAGAACTGCTGGTCGGGCGTTTGAACCACTTGAAACAGAAGGTCACGAAGGCTTTTATGATCCGTACGAATCACAAATTCTCTCCCCAAAAGGTATTGGCGCCATTTATGCACCGCTTCGACTATAGCGTAAAGTTCCTTATGATACGCCGACGATTGAGAACACCGGATGCCCAGTTGCTTGCTAAAGTACGCGACAGGGTGACCCTGCTGCATAAGAACGGCGCCGATTCCCCCATCCGACGCATCTGTCTCAATAATGAAGTCCTCGGCGAAATTGGGCAGCTGCAAAACCGGGGGCGATGTGACGGCGGCCTTTAAGCGCTCAAAAGCGGCCTGGGCCTCGGGAGTCCACCGGAAGCCACCCTTTTTAAGGAGGTTAGTAAGCGGGCTGGCAAGCATAGCATAAGACCGAACGAAGCGTCGGTAATAGCTTGTCAGCCCAAGAAAGCCCCGTAACTACTTGATGTTCTTCGGGGTCGGCCATGAAAGCATGGCGGCTAGCTTACTGGGGTCGGCTTTGAGAACGCCATTCGTGACCAGGTGACCCAAATATTCCACTGTATCCTTGCAAAACGAACACTTTCCAAGCTTGACAAAAAAGCTGTGGGTCGCCAATGTCTGCAAAATAGTCTCCAAATGTGTAGCGTGTTGAGCCAAGGTAGCACTATAGATAAGAAAATCATCAAAGAAGACGATCACAAAACGGCGCAGATAAGAGGCAAAAATGTGATTCATCGCGGCCTGAAATGTGGATGGCGCATTCGTTAGGCCGAATGGCATAACCAAGAATTCGTAGTGGTCGTCGTGTGTTCGAAAGGCGGTCTTGAAGATATCCGCCGTATGCATCCTAATCTGATGGTAGCCGGAGCGGAGATCTAATTTAGTGAAAACTCTGGCATGCCCCAATTCATCGAATAAGTCATCCGCCGTGGGAATCGGAAATTTATCTGCAACGGTTGCCGCATTAAGTACCCGGTAGTCCACACAAAAACGGAAAGAACCGTCCTTCTTTTTCACCAACAAAACTGGAGAGGAAAAAGGACTGCGACTATGCTGAATAATCCCCTGAGCAAGCATCTCCTGTACTTGGCGCTCAATTTCGGTCTTCTGAAAGTATGGGTAACGGTACGGCCGAACGTTAACCGTCGTAGTGTCAGAGCGGAGGTGAATCCGGTGGTCCCAGGGACGCGGTGGGGGTAAACCAGTAGGCAATTGAAAAACCCTGTCATGACGCAACAACACCTGGCGGATCGAGGGAGGAAGGTCCGATGGTAGCTGGTCCAGCGCTGAAGCCGATGTAACTGCCTCTGCATGCATCAAGTATACCTCATATCCGGCCGAAACAAACCCGCTGGAGTATAAGGCCTGGAGCGTGTGAAGTGAAACTGCCCGAGGAGCCTGGTCCATTCCTTGCAAAAGCACCCTTTTGTCGCCCATGTGAAACTCCATCGTCAACGCCCCGTAATCTTGGGTGATCTTCCCAAGGCCCTGCAACCATTGGACGCCAAGAACCACGTCCGGGCCATGGATTTTAAGAACATAAAGATCCACGGGAATGGAACACCCTTGAATCAGCAACTGAACTTGTGAACACTGCTGGTCGCATGGCAAGGACTCCCCATTCCCCACGTACACCCGAAAGGAACGGACAGGTGTGATTGGTAACTGAAGGCGTTCAACCACATGAGGGTGGATGAAGTAATGTGTACTTCCCCCGTCCACCAAAACACGGACCGAATAACCGGCAATTGACCCCAACAAATTTAAAGCACGAGGATGGTTGGCGCCGGCCATAGTATGGAGGCTGGACACATCCGCGGTCACCACAGGGACATCACTGTCCAAGTCGGAAACGGCTTCATCATCATCAGTACCCAATAATGCAAGGAAACGGTGTTTACAACGGTGGCCAGGAAAGCACCAGTTGTTACGTACGTAACCCTAGGCGAGATTGGAGAAGGAGGAAGAGGAGAGATGGCGCACGAGAGTTACGCCAGGGGAGGGAATAAGATTTAGAGAGAGACTAAAACTATTCTTGTTATTAATTTTAGAGTAAAACATCCCTATTTATAATAACAAAGAGTCCTAATCCTGTCGGTTCAATAAAGGCGTCAAGGGAAAGAACCGAAAAGAAAACCCTTGAAGGAGCTTATAACACGCTCTCCTAAAGAAAATCTACGTTACAAAAATGGGAAATAAATAAATAAATAAATAAATGGATATGAATGAATTAAATATAATCCTTGAGTCGTGTCGGAGTCCTAGTTGTACGAGACGACCTTCGTGGCACAAACTTCTTGTTGCCGTCTAATTCCTGTTCTGCTTCAATCTCTTGTTCCGTAACAGATTCCGATGACGAGGACCCCCTTCCACAGTCGATTGGAAGAAAGAAGGCAAAATCCATTACCTCAGGTTCTGTAGGGTCCGGCTCTGTTTCTGTTTCTTCTCACGACGATATCAGTCGGGCAATGGTTGAACAACTTTGGATGTTCAATATTCGAGAAGAAGAGAGGGCGAGAAGATGTTTATTTAAAAACGTAAAAAAATAAAGGTTTGAAACCCTTGTTTGAAGCCCTTGAATTGTTTGAAGCCCCAGGGCTTTAAACTCATTTTCACTGAAACTGTGAGGTAAGTTAAAGCTAATGTGACAAATAGAAGGTTTGAAGCCTCGATTTGAAGCCTTGGGGCTTCACGGGTATTTCCAGTGCCCTTACTAACTTTATCTTAAATTTAATATTTTTAAAACAATAATATAACATATCAAATTGAAACTATATATAAATAAAAACTATGGGTCGGGATACAAAATATTTTATTAAAACGAGATGTAATATATATAAACATCCACAACATACTATTGTGACTTGTCTCCCATATTCTCCGGCACAGAACAATTGATGCAGCCAACAATCTTCCCCTCTGTAACTACCCTCGTTGCGAATCGAACTAGTGACTTTAGCTCAAAACCACTAATAGAACCTGAGGCGTCGCCAACTCTTCTAAACCGATTAGTGTTAAAATAAGACTTCCTTATTTTTATTCTCGAAATAAAAGTTTGCACTGTGGTAATGTGGAGGTAGTATCGCACTGTACACGTGCACATTACTATACTTTTTGGTAATGTACATGATCATGTTTGGTAATATAAATGCATTTTAACTCCTATTTCAGGAATAAAAATATGAAAGTCCTATTTTGGTACATTTTCAATGTTTAACTCCTACTTTAGTTTTTTTCCCTAAAAGAAGTGTATACCCTAACCTTATAGTGCATTCTATTGGGAATTAAACACACACAACACACACAAATATCTGCGAGAAACGAGAGAAACGGAACACAAATGACACACAAGAATTTAACGTGGTTCGGTTTCCCTAATCCACGGCTGCAACAGGAGGAATTTCTTATTCACTTGTGGTCCGAATTACAAGTACAACTATGCAATATATATAGGAAGAGTGCATCTAGGGTTTCGTAACATGGGCCGGGCCAAAAGTCAAGCCCAAGCCTCCACAAACCCAACATTCTCCCACTTGGAGGCTTGATAGTCATCAACTGCCATCCACCACGATTGCCTGTACATCGAGTAATCTTCCTCAGCTCTCCTGTTACAGCGGCCCTATCATCAGACAACTGAAAGGCCCGTTGAAGCTCTCCCAAGCTCCAACACATCAGTCACGGCTAAATCTGCCCCTGACTCGTCCTCGGTCTCTACCGGCTCCCACTGCAGACGCACACTGTCGGATCCTAGAACATCCTGAGAACAAACACTCTCCGTACTCAGCAAGAAATTTTCCGGAGATGTTCCAACAGCTGGAATACTGGTTCTCTTGACCCACTGTCTTCTAGGCAACTTGGCTGAAGCGCCTCTTGAGCTCCCACTGCCA